TCACACAGAAAGCTGCATTTTAAGAGTGGAAGGTATGCCATTTTAGAGGAAAGGAATAGTGAATAATAAATAGTTTTCCTAAATTGGTACTGCTGTGTCGTTGCGAATAGACATGTTTTGCATGAAGAAAACCAATTATTCAAATATATGCTCAAGCCAAATTTACACATATAATGCGGTATGTAAGCAAAACAGAGAATTTCCTTTCCAGTTTGCTGTTTCTGCTTGATTGTTTTGGCCAGGAAAAGATCAAGATGCCACTTGGCACTGTGGGTTAAACCACAGAGTCTAGGACTTGCTGATCAGAAGGTCGGCGGTTCGAATCCCCGTGATGGGGTGAGCTCCCGTTGCTCGGTCCCTGCTCCTGCCAACCTAGCAGTTCGAAAGCACGCCAGTGCAAATAGATAAATAGGTACCGCTCCGGCGGGAAGGTAAACGGCGTTTCTGTGCGCTGCTCTGGTTCGCCAGAAGCCGCTTAGTCATGATGGCCACATGACCCGGAAGCTGTACGCCGGCTCCCTCGGCCAATAAAGCGAGATGAGCGCCGCAACCCCAGAGTCGGTCACGACTGGACCTAATGGTCAGGGGTCCTTTATCTAATTCTGCACAGATGCTAAGCCCCCCATACTTGATGGGACACACGTGTACTTTGTACTCAGATATGCGGTGCCTGGTTACAATAAATAAAGTCAGAGGCCAGTATTATTATGTCTTCAAATAAGTGAAAGGATCCATTGTTCTCCTTGTTGGCTGCGACACAAAACTGGTGTAAATGCTTTCCCAAGTGGCTACAGAGTCTGCACACAGAGGGATTGGCACAGATCATGTGGCCCTTCAGAAAGTCCTGAACCACTCCCACCTTGCTGGCTGGAGCTGATGGAAGTTGTAGCCCACCATCTGGAGGGCCACAGATTCCCTGCTCCTGGCATGAAATCGTAGAGCCCTGTTTATCAAGGCCCAACTCTTGATGCACAATGGACTTAGAACCATAGAATTGCAGAGTTGGAAGGATCCCTGAGGGTCATCTAGCCCAACCTCCTGCAATGCAGGAATCTCAACTAAAGCATTTTGACAGTTCTGGGAGAACAGGTGAGGTCCCTGCAGACTGGGGTAGGCAAACGTTGTGCCCATCTTCAAAAAGGGATGGGGGGGAGAAGACCCAGGTAGCTACTGACAAGTCAGCTTGATGTCGATACCAGGAAAGGTCCTAGAACACATAATTAAACTGTTGGTCTGTGAGCACTTATAAAAGGATGCTGCAATTACTAAGACCAGGGGTCGGCAAGGTTTACCTAAACCGGTGCAGCGTGTTTAACTAAACCGGCACAGCACGGTGAAGGAACTCACTTGCGCGGTGCCAGAAATCGCATCTGCGCAGAAACGATTTCTGGCACCGCAGAAGTAAGTCCCCGCGCCGCACTGCGTCGGTTTAGTGCAGCGTGCGGGGACTTGCCAAGTGGGTGGCTCGGTTTGGGGGTGGCTCATGGGCCGGTTAAATGACCCCCGTGGGCCGCTTGTGGCCCATGAGCCTTAGGTTGCCTACCCCTGACTAAGACCTACCGTGGGTTTCTCAAAAACATGTCATGCCAGATGAATCTCATTTCTGTTTTTGATAGAGTTGCAAGCTTGGTGGATCAGGGGAATGTTGTGGACAAAATGGTTTTTTTTTTAATTTCAGTAAGGCTTTTGGCAAAGTCCTCCATGATATTCTTGCAGAGAAGCTGTTAAAATGTGGACTGGATGAGGTAACTGTTAGGTGGATTTGTAGCAGGTTGACTGGCTGAACCCAAAGAGTGCTCATGAATGGTTCCTCACCATCCTGGGAAAAGTGGCAAGTGGGGTGCCGCAGGGTGAAGAATCATACTCTTAATTTCATGGCTGTGTTGGCTGACTTGAAAACATATTGGTGGGCAGCTGAATTTTTCTTTTTAAAGAAAACTTCTAATAAAATTATTCATAACTTTGATTTAAACATATTAAACTGCTAGATAGATTTTTCCTGTTTCATACTGAAACTGTTATACCCTTAGGCTATCTCCACAAGTATCACAATATTTCTGGCTATAGATGTGGTTGAGTTATGGTTGCATTACAGATTTCCCTATTGTCCGTGTAAGTTCCTGGGCTGGTAGAATCTACCCTTTCTGCTTTAGAGAGTACTTCAATGTAGCTGCAGTGTGAAGAGACGACTGTCAAAGCTACTCACAGCATTGCAACTAGCCGTTGCATAACCAAGTGCAATACGCTAAGAATACTTAGGGGAGTCACAGGAGAATGGCAAAAAATAACATTAAATGTGTGAAAGAGCATGTGCGGTGTGCATTAATCAGCTGTCAGAGTAGTGAGGACTGCATTTCCCTTGTAAAAGAACTTAATTTACTGACTTGTAATTAGAGGGAATAGTCCTGCTACAATGAAGTTAGCTATTCATTTTGTTACGTTCTCAAAGTCTTCTTTCCCCCTCTTTATTAGCTTGTTCTATGAACAGAAGTCCAGAGCAATAAAAATCGATGGATATGTCATCCACTCATTTCTTTCAGCCTTTAAGTGGATTTGGATCCTCCTTTGAATTGTAATTATGCATTTGTTTGTTTTGTTTATTAATAACAGGACAAAGTGTACAGTCCTGAGAATGACATGTTGAGGGTTATGGGTGAAGTGTGCGCACGTATATTTGCATTTTATTTCAGGAGTGTTAAACTATAGCAGTGTAAATGGTAATTAAACGATCAATGCATTACTGTATAAGCAAGATGCTTTATGAGTTCTGCTTTGAGCAAATGGAATGTTAAAAAGTTGTGTTAGGCTCTTTGTCTTTTAACCCAGGGGCTGCATCTAGGCCATGATGCCAGCCTGCTCCAGTGGCTCCATCCCTTCTGCCATTGGTGGAGCCTGGTTAGTGAAACACACAGGAGTTAATTTGCAGCAACATTCAGCCACCATTGCCCAGCAGCTGGTCAGAGTCGGGTGACAGATACATAGGCCAGATTAGGTGCATGCACATGTTGACCATAAATGATTCTGTCCAGTATACTGCTTTTCCCCCCACTTCATGCACAACTTCCTCTCAGTGTGTCTAAATGAGAGAAAATGAAAAAAAACCCACCATACTGAAACTGCTCTACCACCTTTTGTTAAGGGGAGGGGGAAGAGGAAGAGAAGGAAAACTGGAGTGATGGAGGGTGGGAGAGGTGGGGGAAGAGCTGAGAAAGTGGCAGAGAGAGGGGGACGAAGGGGAGCAGAGGAGAGGGAGAGATGAACCAGGTAGCTCCACCTGCTTTTGGCTCTGCCCATTAATGGCTCTGCCCCCCTGGACTTTCTGTGGGTCAACTTCCTGAATTGAAAAAATGTTCCCTCACCTTGCACTGCAGTCCTAGCAGTTACTTTATGAGTTATAGATTGCCATCAATATAAATCCAGGAATTTGTTACTTTGGCTATTGACATTTATCTGGTTTGTAATGGAAATGAGTGAAGATTTGGGTGTGGGTCATGAAGCAACAAATTCCAGAGGTTCCCTCTGCATTCTTTCAATCAGCTTCTGGCATAGCATAAGGACAAGAGCTGTTTTAGTGTGATGTAATGGAAATCCCGACACCTGGGATGTTTTGTTAAACACTGTAGATATAGAATTAGAGACTAGACCAGATCATAAATCTGAGAGGTATTTTTCAGTTATTTTAATTGGATGAGTAACATGAAACTCTAGTTTGTGCATATGACTAGACAATACTTCTGTTTTTGCTGATACTGACTGCATCTGCGTCCACAGGGCAAACCTCACTGCTATGATTTTCAGGCTGGTAAGACAATAGTAGCAACATGTACCTTACTGAGGAGCTCTGAGGATTAATTAGTTGCTGCTTGTAAAGTGCTTTGCAGATGAAAAGAGCTCAATGTTATTAAAACAAGACACACTAAAGTATCCTGTAGGGAGTCATCTGGCACTAGCAGGGTTGCACTGATGACCTCATAGGTCTTCTTCATCACTTCGGTGCTTAGAAAAAGAAGCCAGCATTTCCAGGGAGTGAATCAAAATTATATCAGCAGCTCCATTAGCTTGAAGGCTTGGAGGTAACTGATCTTCCGCCTCGAGAGCAAAAGTAATCACCTGAAGATGCTAAGAAAGGAAGATACGGTACATAACTGGCCGTGTCGCCTGCTGACTGATGTCTTCCTTCAAATAAAATTAGGATTGGCAAAAAGTTATCACTAGCAATTCTACAGCCTGAAATCTTGCATTTATCTCCACAAGGACTACATTATGGTCATGTAAATAATACTGGAACAAAAGATACTTCAGATTGACCTGGAGCGACTGTGTTAGCTGGAGGGAGGGAAGTCCTGCCTTCTTCCGCCTTTCCCCTTATCTTTAGAATCTTTTGAATAAAGGCTGGTGGAAGGTTCTTTTGCAAAACTGATTGGAAGTGGACACAGAGTTTGGCATAAACAAAGTGTAGATTCCAGGCACGCTCATTTCAAGGGGATGAGCAGAGGACCCTGATGCTCTGTCACTGACGAACATGTAATTCTGGGTTAGAACAACAGTGTAATTATGTCTTGGGTATCCTCTCTTTTTTACCACTGTCATTTAATTCTTTTTCCTGCTCTTATTAAGCTTCCAGATATAGGCTAACATCACAGAGCTTTCTCCAGTTACCACTAAAGTTGAAGCAACAAGTCCAGTTAATGAGCTTTAAATTGAAATTGAGCAAGAGATTGGGGGAGTGGGGCAGAATTCAGTGGTAGAGCACATACACTGCATGCAGAATGTCCTGGCTTCAGTTCCTGGGACTTCTAGTTAAAAGGAGCTTAGGTAGAAGGGCTGAGAAAAGACTCCTGCCTGAAACCCTGGAGAGTCTCTGCTGTAGCCTGTGCTGAGCTAGATGGACAAATGGTCTGTTCTAGCCCAAAGCAGCTGCATGTGTTCAACATGGCCAGTGCTCTGATCCATAAAGGAAGCTAACATGACTATTTTCCCTCTTTTCTCCTTCTTTCTAGGGAGTGCAAGAGCTGAAAATGAGGCCCCGAGCAGAGTGCTATTCTTCAAAGTTCTGGCTTATGCTGGCAGTCCTGGCGACAACAGGTGGTGGGGCCTGGGCCCAAAAGAACCACCCCAGCATTGGCATTGCTGTCATCTTGGTGGGTACCTCTGACGAAGTAGCTATCACAGATGCCCACAAGAAAGATGACTTCCATCACCTCTCTCTCACGCCTCGTGTGGAACTGGTGGCCATGAATGAGACAGATCCCAAGAGCATCATCACCCGCATCTGTGATATCATGTCTGATCGGAGGGTTCAAGGTGTGGTGTTTGCTGATGACACTGACCAGGAAGCCATTGCCCAGATCCTGGACTTCATTTCTGCCCAGACCCTCACACCCATCCTAGGTATCCATGGAGGCTCTTCCATGATCATGGCAGACAAGGTAAATTATTGCTTCTTCCCATCTCAACCATTAGAGTGGAGCTTGGAAATTTGCTTCTTCGTTCACAAAATGCATACGGTTTGTTAAAGGCACTGACAAACTTGGTCAATTGCATTGAAAGAATTCAAGCCCTGACTATCTAGATATTTGTCACTGAGGTTCTTGGAACAAGCAGCATCTTGTCCTTGGCAAGCGAAGCAGATCTGTCCTGCTTTGCTTTCTGTCAGTTATTACCAAATACCAGGTCTGCAGAATTGGGTCTATGTATTTGGCTTCGTGGGAGTGGCGGAAAAACCTTCAGAAGTTTACTCTGCTGTCCCTCACCTTCTGTGACCTTGCACAGTTACAGTTCAAGGCGAGGACATTGTGTTGGTGTGGCAATCATTATGCCCCATTTTAACCACTCATTTGCCAGTGTTATGACTCATAATATGAGGTTAAAAAACAATTAAATGCATGTTGTTAAAAATAATGCACGAGGGTGTCAACTGGGGAGAGTGTGTGTGTGCGTGCACTGGGTCTCCCACCAATGTCCCTGCATGTGCTACCCTGCCACCTACTTGCCTGATGTGCAAATATCTGAAGGAAGGCTCTAAATGCCTTCAGTTGAACATGGCTAGAATCTTCTCAAAGATTTTAAAAAAAGACCCTGTGCAACCAATAGAAGAGAACATTCTAACTATGTTCACTAGTTAGCATCTTCTCCTGCAGAAGATCAGGAGAGGATGGGAAGGTGCACATAGGGATGTTTGGGTGTGGCCTTGGTACATTTGCTTGCCAGCATTTCCTACCCAGGGATAACTACACTACCAAACCAAGAAAGAGTGAGCACATACATCCTGTAGACCCATGACATCCCCCCACACCCATAAGAAGCCTTGCTTATTTTAATTGCTTTTTCTTTAAGAAGAACATTAAGAAACCAGGATGATAAAACTGGAAGTGCCTCAGATAATCTGAATTTCCCACCAAAGACCACAGGAATAAGTATTTTGGTTTCACAAAACTGTCATGGACAAACCATTAATAAAACCAGCTTTCCTGCAAAACATTCATTAGTTTTAAACACATGTAAAACAAAACAAAACAGAGAATGGAATTGGTTTAACCTAACATTCCCCTGTCCCCAGGGACTGTTTTGAGGAAGTTCAGTGATAACCCAGAGCATCTACACATATACATATATCTAGTGCTTTTTCTGGGGGGGACACAGGGGTACACATACCCCTAACATTTTGTGAATCTAAGTTTGGCCTCATTGAGGGGCAGTATTTCAATATGAGTAGGAAAATGAGAGTACCCCTAAACATTTTTTTAAGAAAAAAAGCACTGCATATAGCAGGAGATATGAGTAGTTTTCTTCTACTTTGTAGATTATGACGATAAACATGTGTTTTCAGAGAATCATAGAACTAGATCCACAGATGACCTTGCTCATTCTATGCCCAGAGGATTGACAATCCACACGTTACAGATATCGGTCTATATAATTAGAATTATGATTTGTCATAAACACAGAGCAAGTCCACTCTAGAAAGTGTGGCCATTTTGTAGTCATTCATTCTCGTCCCCAATCTGCTTTAATATGAGGAGATCCCCACTTTGTGGTGTTAGCACTCGCCCCCAATTCATTTGTAGAGTACTAGCACTGTATCTAAGATTAAAAAGTCAATCTCATAAGGTAAGTTCTCAGTTCTGGTATTCATCTGTTGCTCTTCTGTATACCTAGTCTACTATGAAGAGGGCTTTCTAGAATGTGGACAATGGTAAATGATATTCAATCTACCAGCAGTTTGTATGCAGCTAACTATGTTTTTGATCCCACTAGCAATACCCTGCTTATATATCTAAGACATATGCTGCCTTGTTTCCTCTTTCCCTTCCAGCTGAAGAGTCTCAAATGATAACCAACATGTTTATTCTTTGTGTCCTTCCAGATTGGTGTTTTATTGTGGGTGTATTCTGCAACATGCTCTTAACACAACAATAGTGCATTAGTGGTGGATTTATTCTGCTTTATTCTCAATGCACCTACATTACTACCACATTATTTCTTTCTGCTGGACAAAATAAATAAATAACCAGAACATTTGTGGTATGAAAAGTTACTGGATTTTTAGCATGAAGCTACAGTGAATGTGCTGATTGGAAATGAAGCAGTATGACCACTCCAAAACTTTTGCAGGAACAAGCAGTATTAAAAGCAGGGTTGTCTACATAATGTATAGCATTATGAGCACAAATAATCATAAATGTGCAATAAAAAAAATCTGCTGAAGTCTTGCATCTCTAGTGTAATGGCATAGGACCCTTTTATACATCCAGTAGAAAAAAGTAGCAGAGCTTTTCTGGATTGCCCCACTTTAGGCTGTAGGTGGGGGAGGCTGCATGTTTGAATGCTATCCTATGGATGAAATTCCCTGAAAATAAGAGAAACCCCCCCACACTATGTCAGGGAGAAAGCTAGGTTGAATCAATCTCTCCAACATACTAGTTTTGTATGTGCAATAAGTTTTAATGATGGGAAGTGGTCATACTGGTGTTTCCTGCCATCTGCATCCTAGAGTGATACAATCCTGGAAAAGATTTGCCATCTGATTTTGCTAAGCATATAAGCTGGCCCATACTGCTTTGTATTACTGGATAGCATATCACGGTGGGATGCTAAGGATAGCTGAGAGATGGAGGAGGTATGTTCCTTTGCACTGCCTGGCTGAGAGATAAAATGACACTGGTAGCTATAAGGACTTGAGCCCAGGGAGCCATTGAAAGAGGCAGTGTCTGTAGCAGTTCCACCTTACAGTCATGTCCATTGTATAAGGTGGTGTCAATGTCATTTCTGGGTTAAGCACTCGTAGAGCTATGTTCTCACCATGCTGCAGAGAGACCTAGTGGGGCACAGCTTCCTTCCCTTCCCACCAGGACATGCAGTGGCATGGGTTTCCCCCTTCTGCACACCAAGAAATGTGCACCAACAGTTTCTGTGGCTCCTGCTAGCCACCAAAGGTGCCAAAGACATGAGGAAGGAAAAAGTAGGACCAGGCCCAAAGATGCTTCACCAAGAATTTGGTTGAGGTGAGGAAACACACAGACAGACAGACAGACAGACAGACAGACACACTGATTGTTTAAAAAAATCAGTTTGTGATTTCAGCTTCTTCGTTCTACCACCTGTTGGATTGACTGCTAGGTCAAAGACTATGAGACTTCCACTGGCTTATGAGAGGATCTGCTCAGGAGTTGGGGGACTTCCAGCTCAATTGAAAATCTCCTGCTGGGTATCTTCAGCATATCACCACTCATGGCTTTCCATGAACCTGGATCTGTAATGTAGACACATGGCCCAGCAGGACACAGGGTGGTATTCAACTAAGTTTTACTCAGAAAAGGCCTGTTGATATTAATGAACACAGTTTAGTCATGTTTATTAATTTCTACTCCAAGTAAAACTTAGTTGAATTCCACCACCAGAGCATACTGGTCTCAAAATATCAGCACTGTTTGCCAATTCACTATGCATCCCAATTGAAGGTGTTAATGTTGACATATAAAGTCCTAAATGACTTGCTCCCCAAATATCTGAAGCATTGCCTCCTCCCAAATCTACTTGCCTTGGTATTAACATCACCAGGGGAGGCCCAGTTGGTCATGCCACCACCTGCTGTGGTTCAAGGAGTCCGCAGCACATGAGAGGGTCTTCTCCGTGGTGGGCCATAGGTTGTGGAATGAGTTTCCCTCTAAGTCAGGTCTTGTACTAGCACAATAAACTTTTCAGTGATTGATCAAGACACAGCTGTTTTCCCAGGCCTCTGGTTGAATGGGCGACTTCCTTCTTCCAGCACTGCTGTGTATCCCTGTTATGTGTTTCTGTTTTGTTATTCAGAAATTGGACGTTGTTGCTGTTTTATTTATTTCAATTCTACATTGGACTTATTTTAATTATGGCATTTTTGTAACCTGCCCTGAGACTCATTGGTGAAGAGCAGGCTATAACTAAAATCAGGTAAATAATAAGCAGAGGAGATGGACTGGCAGTCCTTGAGTGGGAGGAGAAACTGGTACAGGCCAGGAATCCAATTAAGAAATTTATTCAAGGGAAGTATAAAAAGGGGGAAATGGGGGAAACATTGAGTATGCACTATCAAAAGGAAAATAAAAAACACCAACTCAACCAGGAATATTAGTCTATTTAGCCTTATACTAGGCAAACTCATGTAGCAAAGACTTTTGTTGAGGGTTACTTTCACACACATTTGGTAATTTGTGGAGATGCTGGAAAGATGAGTGACAAAGTAAAGGAGCATGATGTTATGCTTTATGCTGCTTAACTGAGGTGATAGAAATTGATAGCTAGAAGAGCAATTGACCAATGGGAGGCATGCAGTCAGGGGATGCTGGAGGAACAGGAAATAAATGCCAGCAATTGCCCCTAGAAGATGAGAATTAGGATGAAGATGGGCATGCTTTTCCTCGTATAGTGATGCAGAGTCAAAGAGATGCTGGTTAAGTAGGTGACTGGCAGAACAATATGATATGGAGCCTTCTATTTCAGCCAACTATATGGAAAATTTAGAACGTTAGGCTTCACAGGGTCCAGGATTCTTGACAGTTGCATATTATGGAGCCTCTACATTGCCACAGCACTGCAAGACAGCTTTAGGGCTTTCTCAAATGAGGCATGCATATTGTCCAAGAGTAGCCTGCCATAGATGTATCATAGTACATACTCCAGGGAAATAATGTTGGATTTATTCCCTGATTAAAGGAGCCCAGAGGAAATTTCTTTTTTATTCACTTTGCCCTGAAACTATGTTGAATATAGGGTACAAACCGCAAAAGAGTAATGTTCAGGCTAGATGCCAGTTGGCATGACTTTCTTTACAGGGGACTTGGGCCTACTGAATTTGATAGAATTTGATAGGCTATTAAATAAATAATCAAGGGTAGAATGTCCAGTTGCAAATCTAGCTGGGGAATTTGATCAAGTGAGACTTACTCTT